TCCCCTGGAGTGGGAAGGGAATGGGGATTTTGCACTGGCTGTCCCTTGGAGTGGGAAGGGAATGGGGATTTTACAGTATCCTTTCCCTGGAGTGGGAAGGGAATGGAGATTTTGCAGTATCCTTCCCCTGGAGTGGGAAGGGAATGGGGATTTTGCAGTATCCTTCCCCTGGAGTGGGAAGGGAATGGGGATTTTGCAGTATCCTTCCCCTGGAGTGGGAAGGGACTGGGGATTTTGCAGTATCCTTCCCCTGGAGTGGGGAGGGATTGGAGATTTTACAGTATCCTTCCCCTGGAGTGGGAAGGGAATGGGGATTTTGCAGTATCCTTCCCCTGGAGTGGGAAGGGAATGGGGATTTTGCAGTATCCTTCCCCTGGAGTGGGGAGGGATTGGAGATTTTACAGTATCTTTCCCCGGAATGGGGAAGGAATGGAGATTTTGCAGTATCCTTCCCCTGGAGTGGGGAAAGAATGAGGATTTTGCAGTATCCTTCCCCTTCCACACCCACCAAGCCATGCCCACCAAGCCACACCCACAGAACTGGTAGTAAAAAAATTTGAATCTCATCACTGATCCAGCTATGTATCGAGCTCTTAAAAATCCTTCTCATACCTGCTTCAATTCTTTAATTGCTATGCTTTTTTTGACTTGATTCCCATCATCCTCTCTTGGATCTTTGTCTCTGCCTACATCCACTTTTTGGTTGTTCAATCTGGGTATTTCTCCCATCTCTACCCTCTTCCATTGCCTAGTTTCCAAAATTTCTGCCCAAGCCCCTTGTCTCTCTTTCGAAAGTCTCTTCCTATAGCTCCGGTTCTCTTTTCAACTCTCTTAATATATTTCCCATGATTTTCAAAATTCGAATCATCCAGCTATGTATCGAGCGCTTAAAAATCCTTCCCACACCCTACGTAAAGGATAGGACGGTGAATCAGAAAGATGATACATTTAATGAATCCCTAGTATGAATCTGCAATTCACCGAGTTCAACCCCCCCCTCCTCTGATTCATAAATTATGTGCATCGATTTACTCATTTATACAAATAAAGGCCAACGGCTCATATAATCCATCTGCCATCTAAATTCTTTACCTGTCAGGTGCAAAAGATCAGTTTCACATGTGAAGGTCCAATTAAACTGATTTAAATGTACGGTTATGCACAAGATGTCAGGTTTCAAAAAAAAAATGCCCTAATTGATTAATGAGCCTCGAGTCAAATTTCAAAAGAGAACCATTTATTAGGAGCATTTTGGCAATGCCTTTTTTGTGCAGTCAGATCTTTGCATTATTTGAAATATAGCTGAACCTTTACCCCTGTTCCTTCCCTCCCCTCAATCTGTGTCATAAATCACATTCCCCAATGAGGTGCACCACTCCCAAGTCTGCTGCGGTAATCTGAGATCCAACTCTAGCCGAAAGTATGCGTGGTATGCGCTCCCCATCCACTTTCCACACTATGGCAAGTTTAGGAGTTGACACAAGAATCTTCTTAACTAACACTCCTGTCCTTATGGGGTTCCTGAGAGCCTAGAAGAAATTTGGGTATTATCTTGCTTGGTATGTCTGCTTTAACTCTTGTCTGTTTGAGCTCATATGTGCTAGTCGTTCCCGACACTAGGGGGCGGTGCTCATCTCCGTTTCAAAGCCGAAGAGCCAGCGCTGTCCGAAGACGTCTCCATGGTCACGTGGCCAGTAGGACTAAAGGCTGAAGGCGCACGGAACGCTGTTACCTTCCCACCAAAGGTGGCTCTTATTTTTCTACTTGCATTTTTTACATGCTTTTGAACTGCTAGGTTGGCAGAAGCTAGGACAAGTAGGGAGCTCACCCAGTTACGTGGCGCTAGGGATTTGAACCACCGAATTGCCGTCCTTCCTGATCGACAAGTTCAGCGACTTAGCCACTGAGCCACCATGTCCCTTTTTAATACCCCATTAATCACTGCTTTGCTTATTGTCTCTGGATCCAAAAAAAACCCCAATTGCCTGGGCACCTGAACATGGCCCTGATCCTTGGCAAAACAGACACCTCCCTCCCAGCACACTCTACAATGGACGTGACCCACCATGGTAACTTTAAGACCCTTGAATTTCAACTCCCAGGATTCCTCAGCCAGTAGGGCTGTCTGAGGAATTCTGGGAGATGAAATCCACAGGCCTTAAACTCGCCAAGGTTCGACACCCCCTGCTCTACAATCTACAGCAGGGGTGTCAAACTCAATTTCATTGAGGGCCGCATCAGGGTTGCGTTTGAACTTGGGAAAGGAGGGGCCAGGGTGGGTGTGGCCAGCTTGACATCACTCGTGTTGGGGGGCACTGTGGCGGCCCAAGTGCTCTGCCAGTGAAAACAGGCTCCCAAACTCCGTTTTCAGCTGTGACGGCCTCCTGCAGCCTCTGCCGGGGAAAACAGGGCTCGGGAGGGCCGTGGGCGGCCCTCCCGAGCTCCGTTTTCCCTGGCAGAGGCCCCATGGGACAGTCCTTCACTGTTTCCAGGTCGGCCCCAAGTTTGACGCCCTGATCTAAGGAAATCACCTCAATGCAGAATTGTTCCCAGCTATTTTTGTATCTAATGCAGACGCTTCTACACAACAGTAATTATGCAATCCTAACCACTCTGTTAATAAACAACGAAGGAGCTGTTGAAGCACCAGAGGCACTTTTTTTTTTTTTTGAAAAAGTAACAACGAAATGAGCAGAATCCTAATTGTACTTTCTCTGGCTTTTCATGCCCAGCAGGGAGAGAGAGAGAGAGAAAACACGCATTAAGATGATGGATCCCTTTGTTTACAGCTGCAACAAACTCCCTTGGAGTTTGCTATGATCCACTGGAGTTCTGAAGATGGTTCCATATATTGATTTCAAGATTCAAGAATGCTATTCTTCCTCTGCAACTCAGGTGAACCAGAATTAACAGGGCTACTCTACAAATTAATCCACCGACAGTCCTGCCCAGCAATTATTTAAAGCAATTATATACCACGGGGCACCGTTGCACCCCAGAAACACTATCATACGACCAAATTTTAACACTTTGCCATGTGGAAAATCTGCAAGCACATGCGCAAATCCCATATCGGGACTGGGAAGTTGGCAGCAATTGTCCAAACTTTTGGGAAAGCTGTTTAGGAGGAGGCAGAGACTGGGGGTGGCGTCAAGAGAGGAAGCAGCCTAGAATGGTTACCTTCCCACAAGTAACCCAACCTCCTTGAATTCCATGAGCTCTTATCTAGTGCCAATTTAGCGCTGACTGTTAGGTGACCGGATTCTCGTGCATAGGCATAGATCAGCTTGACTGGAATTTAATGTGTGGTCCTGATTCTTTGCCTGACGAAAGTCCATTCACCAACCCCCAAGTGGAGGCACCTAGCATTTCCAAACAGGTGGGATTATATTCCCAGGTCCTGCTAGGGCAGGCGACCCAACAAGACAGACATGGACTTCAAAGGATAATTAGAACTGCAGAAAAACAATTGCTACCAACCTGCCTTCCATTGAGAACCTTTATACTGCACGAGTCAAAAAGAGGGCTGTGAAAATGTCTACAGACCCCTCACATCCTGGACATAAATTGTTTTAACTCCCACCCTCAAAATGACGCTAGACACAACTAGACACAAGGACAGTTTTTCCCCTAACGCCATCACTCTGCTAAACAAATAATTCCCTCACTACTGTCAAACCATTCACTAAGTCCGTGACCCGACAAATGCACGCCCGACAACAGCGCGCCGACAAAACCGCGGTGATAAAACCGCGACGTCAACAGCGCGGCCACAAAGGTGCACCGACAAAAGCGCGATTAGGGTTAAGGTAAGGGTTAGGGTAAGGGTAAGGGTTAGGTTTAGGGTTAAGTTTAGGGTTAGGTTTAGACCGCGTTTTTGTCAGCGCGCTGTTGTCGGCGCGCTTCTGCGCTCATTCGTCGGCGCGATTTTGAACTCGCGGTTTTCTCGCCGTGGTTTCGTCGGCGCGCTTTTGTCAAGCGCGCATTTGTCGGTGAACCCACTAAGTCTGATTTACTATTACTCTTAGTTTTTTCATCTCACCCGTCTCCTCCCACTTATGACTGAACTTTATTGCTTGTATCGTTATGATTTATATTGATTGTTTCCTAATATGATTTGGTTGCTTAATTTGTACCCTATGACACTCATTAAGTGTTGTACCTTATGATTTGTGATAAATACATATTTTCTTTTATGTACACTGAGAGCTTATGCACCAAAGACAAAGTCCTTGTGTCTCCAATCACACTTGGCCAATAAAGAATTATATTCTATTCTATTCTAAAAACGTTTTCTGCAAATGCCAAGGCAAAATTTCTGCACACACCGTGATTCCTGGCTGGTTGAGTATATTTCTCTGTTCTTAAAATCAAAGCAACGATGTTTTGATATTCCTCTTTAATGGTTTCATTTTAGTCCTTTTAATACCTTAAAAATATGTTGCTTTTTTGAAATGCCTAGCTAGGTGCTTATTATTTCAGAATTCTATGAAGAACGGGGAAGAGATAAGCAAACTAAAAAGGTATATTTACCTTCAAGATGGGTGCCATGAACACGGAAACGCCCGTCAGAAGGAATACGATACATCCAGTCACTCTCTGCTCCCTGAAATAAACCCCAGGAATAACATAACCAATTCTTATTTGAAGGACATTTAATATATATATATATGACATGAGCTTACAATATCTCCAGGAAGAAAAGAACTTTTTTTGGTCTCTATCACCTGCCACCGATTTGTTTTCAAGAAATACCATATTTTTCAGAGTATAAGATGCACCGGACTATAAGACGCACCAAGATTTTGAAGAAGCAAATTAAAAAAAAAAGTTTTGGCACTCTGCAGACCTCCCAAAAACGGGCCGTTTTTTTTTTCCAAAAAGAGGCCATGAATAGCCTCTAGGAGGCTTATAGAGTGCTCATGGGGGGGTGCCCCCATCAAAACAAGCAAAAAGCGGTCCATTTTTTGTGAAAGTGGGCCTGTTTTTTGCCAAATAAAAGGCATGCATAACCTTTAGGCGGCTTATAGAGTGCTCATGGGGGGGTGCCCCCATCAAAACAAGCAAAAAGCGGTCCATTTTTTGTGAAAGTGGGCCTGTTTTTTGCCAAATAAAAGGCATGCATAACCTTTAGGCGGCTTATAGAGTGCTCATGGGGGGGTGCCCCCATCAAAACAAGCAAAAAGCGGTCCATTTTTTGTGAAAGTGGGCCTGTTTTTTGCCAAATAAAAGGCATGCATAACCTTTAGGCGGCTTATAGAGT